GATAAGCCGTTTATTTTGAAATTGGTCTAACTCAATTTTCCAAAAAAATTAAATTAACTATCGTAATAGTTACATTTTTACATGATCTTTTCATTCTGAAACAATTTATTACTAATACATTAAAAATCATTCAAATTTTGTAACACGACAATTTGTTGATTAATGAAACGATAAAAAAGTTTATTTCGAATTTGACCTAACTCCATTCGTGATTAGAAAATGCCTATTATTTGTTTAACAATTGCCACTATTTTAATGGGAACTATAAATTGAACACCTTTAAATACACTTAAGTAGTATAACTCGTTAGTAACTTGTAAGTATATTGTTAATTGCATTAAAATGCAAACCTTTCAATATCTCGAAGAGAGTTAGGCCACATTCAAAATAAACGGCTCATATCATCTAAATAAATAAAAAACAAATAACAAAAATAATAACATTTTCTTTTCCAACAAAACTAATAATAATAATATTATTATTATTATTATTAATTGGCATTAGAAACTCGAAAGTTCATTGCTGCAAATACCAAATCCCACCATTGTTCCCGTACCTGAGCGCAATCCTTCCATTCGCGGTCTCCTTATCCTATTTCTTTCAGGTCTCTTCTAATATTATCTTCAATAATAATATAATAATAATAATAATAAATTAATATCAACTATAAATAATATAGTAACATTTATGAAAATGATTAGAAGAAGAGTTTTGATTTAGTACGTATAATTGGCTTGACAACAAGATATATCAAAGGACTCGAACATTAAAGATAGACAGGCAGAAAATGACAAGGGGTACTATTATTAAATGAGTTAGAGAAAGATAGTTGAACTTAAATGAAAGTTACAGAGTGAGAGAGGGAGATAGAGATAGTACATTGGAGTAATCTCTGTCTATTAGCAAGGTATTATTTTCCGTGGTAGACATCAAAGAGGATTTTCCCTTGGTCTCATTGTATCGTCACGATAATTCCTCGTTATTAGGAGCACCGTTGAACGCGTTGGTCTCATGTCGGCTTACCACACCCCAAGTGCCGAAACAAATCCTACAGAATTGGAGGATACGATGCAAAGGAGATTCACTTGTTAACTATCTCTCTCTCTCTCTTTCTCTCTATTTATCTCTCTTTTTATCCTAAGAAAAGGAACAAACTAGTATATATATAATGGTGGGGAAGGACACACAAAGTTAAAGTGATAGTTAATCCCCGTGAAAAATGTTACATGCCAGGTGAATGAATCTTTTCCTATGGTAAAGAAAAAGAAGAGATAGAAAAAAAGAATTATTCGGGTTTAACAGGCAGGTGGGTTAAAACTCACCTAATCGAATTTAGGAAACCACCGGGATCCTTTTTAATATTGAAACACCCTTCGATAGTATGAAAGATGGATGATAATCGTGTTGTTGAGTGACGATGAATAGACAGGTATGTGAATCTTGGTTACTTCCTAATGACAATCCTTCCCCCCTCCCCTTAAGGAGGGAAGTGTAGGGACACTTATCCCTCACCTTTCCCTTTTTTCTTTTTTATCATAGTTCTTTCTCATTTTCTTCTGCCTTTTATGTTTTTTGTCGTACTTATTCAAAGTTATGAACATCGATGCCAATGCTGATGTTGATAAAAGATAAAAGAAGATATCTTTATCTTTATCTTTATCTTTTTCTTCCTTTATTCTTTTTTCTTCTTGGTTATATCATTGTAGAAAGCGTTGTTGATAGAACAAGGATTTGACAGGGTTTGAGTTATACTATATATCATACAAAGCGATGAAAGTAAGAAAAAGTAAGAAGGGTATGGGGGTATGGGTTGGATAAAAGGGTATATTGATCTCTTGGTTGCAAACTCATGGCTTGTCGCTTTCTATCACGATTATATTCTGCTTCTGTATTATGTATTCTTGAAAAGATTAATATGATTTTAAATAATTTTTATAAATCATATTTTATAAATTATTGTATTATATATTGTGTATAATTAATTATTGAAATATTTCTATCACAAGTGTTTTTCTATAAACTTGAAATAATTCATATATATATATATATTTCAAATTCTTCTATAAATAAACAAAAATTTATTATTTACAAGAATTAATTTAACTATTAACTCATAATTCATATTTTATAAATTATTATATATGTATATATTATGTGTGTAATTAATTATTGAAATATTCTTACCACACACACACACACACATGTACACAAGTGTTCTTGGTAATATAATATTATATTTAATTATAATATTATTTATATATATCAATATTATTTAATATATTATTTAAAATTATTTTATATTAATTATATTTTATATAAAAATAATATTATTATTTGATATATCTTAAAATATAATATTATATATTATTTGTAATAATAATATTTCTTTGTTAATAATAATATTATATATTATTTGTAATAATAATATCTTTTTTGTAATAATAATATTAAATATAATATTATGTATTATAATTTGTCTATTAAAAATAATATTAATTAGAATATTTAGTAGAATTTATTACATTGTCATTTGCTAAATAACATTATTAATTATTATTTATTTTATTATCAAGTTTCAATTGTGCGTTGATATAAAAATATAAAAAGTACAATAAATGATTGACTGTTAATAACTTGTGTTAATAACTAAATGTTTGTCTTTTTTTCTCTCATTATTTAGTATAGTAGCCGTTTCATAGTTTCGTTACATAGCTCCGTTTCCGTTTATTTACTTTTCAGATCACTCCCATTATAAAGAAGTTTTCACTTTTAAAAAAACTATCAATTACTTAACAAACTCTTATAATATTTACATACTACAACACTTTAATAATTTCTATCTATAATTATAAAACAAAACAATATTTAACCATTTCCTTCAATAAACTTTCCCCGCCCCGCCCCCCTAATTCCAATTAATAACAATAACAATTATAAAATAAATCATTATAACCAATAGAAATATATTAATAAAGAATGAAATCGAATTATTTGATCCTTTCTGCCGTTTAATTTCAATGAAGGGTGTCGACGTTCAGTTGAAACCTTCTTACTGAGGAGGAAGGGGAAATAAGAGACGTAGATCGTCCTGGACGAGGTCAGCACATGGAATCGTTGCCCTAAGGGGCGTGTGCCCTGGACAGGACTAAGTAGGGTGCAACTGACAGTAAAAGACAATTACCCTTCTGATACATCCAATGCCCGCGTGATTTTCTACGTTGAGAAACGTGTATAAGGATTCGTTACACGCTTCGTAACACCGCCCCCCCTATCCCCCTGTCCCCCTATCCACCCACCTCAACTAATAGAAAAATCTCATATTTTTTATTTTACTCTATTTTCTTCAATTAATAAACAAAAGATGTATTTCTAATAATAATAATAATAATTTATATTAAAATCAAATGAAAATTTAATCACGAGTCAGACACGTAATTTAAATATGTTCGATATTTATATTAGTACGAGTGTGACACGTGAAAGTTGTTAAGTTTAAAACGTTTGATACGAAATTTGGATCATCAATTAAACTTGTTGTTTTGTTAAATTTGTTTGTTTTTTTTTTTTTTTTAATAATGATTGAGAAAATGATTGATTTCATCCTTCGTGTGATTTTCCATCGTTTTATTAATTGCAACGCGTTTAATCTAAGCACGTGTCGATCAACCGTGACACACAACTTTTAGTTTCTCTTATCTCCTTTAGCTTTTATTGTTCCCAGAAATTTATCTACATTGGATCGATACACTTGTACAACTGGTATATGAATCTACCTTGTTGCGAAAATTCTCTACTAATGTTTCGAAAGTTAAAGGGACCACGGTGTGTTTAATTCGGATTTTTAAATTCATTGTAAAAAAAAAATGGTGTTGAAAAAAAAAAATATATATTGGTAAGAATTCTATATAGTTTATGGTCAAATTCCCCGTGATTACTTCAAAACGTATGATCGTCGAGTGATTCGGGCTGCCGAATTTCAGGCGATTGAAAAAATACTTTCTCTTACGTTTACTTATGCTTGTTTTTTTTTGATAAATATATAAATGTGTGTGTGTGTGTGTGTGTGTTGTTAAAATAAGAAATACAAAAGAAAGTATATTTAATTGATAATCATCATTTATCAACATTAACATCTAAAAGGTATAATAAATAATAACATTTATAGTAATTTATCATTAAATTTACAATAATTTCATATTGTTTTGAATATCATCTGATAAAACATATTAATTTGTTATGAGTGAAACAAATAATTAAAGTTAAATTAATTCAAAATTTAGCAAACATTATTGACGTAATATTTCAACAAAAATTGTGAAATTAAACGAAGTTTAACACATTCCGTGTCACGTGTACCACCGGTGGTACACGTGGTTTGAAGAACAAGTTTAACGTGTACCACCGGTGGTACACATATTTATTTAATGCACTGAAAATATACGTTTATAAACAATTTAATTCTGTACAAGAATATTTCTATTAAAATATTGATGCATTATATAAAATGCAGTATAGAACAAAGCACACACACACAAGTTTGTTTTAATTGTTATATTTACAATAATTAATAATTATATGTAATGATTGATTTTGTTCAAGCAAAATGAAATGACATGAATGACAAGTCAGGTAAAAAGAGCTTTTGACATGGTACGTGTTATATTTACAATAATTTTATATTCTTTTGGGGTTTCATCTGATAAGACACATTAATTTGTTTTGAGTGAAACAAATAACCAAACAAAAAACCATAATATTTCAACAAAAATTGTTGTAATATTCAACAAAGTTTAAAGAAATGATCAAATGAATTATTCATTATTATTCTTCAAATGAATATTTTCTCAATTGTTTATGTTCTTGTTGAAATTTCTCAAGTAAGGGTTGGTTGATTATTATTATACTACAAAATTTAATTTCAAAATTTTTTTTTCAATATATCTTCTCTTTACAAATTTTTCAGATGTTGTTGGAAAATGAAACTTCGAATAAATTTGACTTCAATCATCTGGAAATACGAAAGATCTTGACGAAGGTTCTGAGGATTGTGGAAACGAATTATACAGCTGATTAGATTCTTCATATTTTTCAGTCCTAGTTTTGTCCTAAAAATGTAAATTATTGTAAATAATTTAATTAATTATTCAATTTTTTTTATATTTTTTTTTTATTTATTACCGTAGGGAAAAAAATAAAATCATCTTGCTGAACATCGTCAGTATCTTGAATGCCTTCAAAATCAAACACCGTTTTTGGCAATCTATTCGAAGTGTCAACAAATTTAGTGGATTCTTCATCATCGTCAGGAAATACAATACGATTAACTTCATTTCTTATTCGTGGTTCATAATTTTGTATATCTTTCTTATTATCATTATCAAATTGAAGTTTTTTCATATTAGAAAAATCCGAATTATCAGAATAATCAAATCGTGGATATGGTGCTTCGTTTTTATGGAAACGATTATGATACAGGTATTCCTTATTTCCTATAAAATAAATTATTATTTATAATATATTTATTATTTAATATAATGATTGATCAAAAAGTTCGTACAAGTGAACTATTGTTTTTATTATTTATAAAATTGATTAAAATCAAAGTGTTGGTTTCGAATCATTTTGTATAAATTTGCTCGAACTTTTTGGATAATCAAATAATATAATATGTTTTTATTAATAATATATAATAATATAATAAATATATATATATATATATATATATATATATATATATA